ATCAGAACTTTTTAAGACAAAGAAAAGTAATAAACATAAATTATTGAGTTCGAATAAAGGAATCAATAAATTGGGTATAATGAAAATGACTTTAAGATTATTTCAATACAGGAAATGTCAAGTAGTTGCACGTAGAGTTGAACGCACGCGCGAATGTACGACTCAAATGACATTTTAAAACATCTCTCCGGAAGTAGGTATGAAGATATTTTTGTCCTTATCTTTTGCAATGCTATACCTATATGATACTTGGATGCATAATCGCGAGCGAGGAATCATATGTTAAACAAGAAGCACTGTAATCACATCCTTTTAAATTAATAAATAATAAATAAAACAATATACATACCATATATGTTTATGAATTATGCATAGTAACAAGGGATCCGGAGTAAAATGTGACACCTTTTTTCTGGCGAAAAAATGTTTAGTCTGTACAATTAAAAATTTCTAGTGAAATAATTTCATCAATGTATTATTATGATTCATTAATTATCTCAGTTGTATTATTTTATTGACAAGATTTTGTAGTACCAAAAAAAAATTCTTTTAATGAATAATGATATAGTGTTCAAAACACTATAACTTTAATTCTACTGAATATTTTTAGCTAAAAATTTAACTGTATACTCTAGAAATATGTATAAATAAATGGTAAAAAGTTCAAAGTTCTATCTTTTCATTGGTCTTTACAAAAAAATCCCAAAAAAAATGCTAAAAAATCAGGGTGTCAAACCAGAAGACCCGATCAGAATCCTATGACCTATGACAAATCGGTCGAAGTAAAGAAGTTAATTTAACTTCTTTTACACATTAAAAAATTTTTGATCATTACGTTAAAAAAATTTATCAATATAACGATGTAATTATTATCGAAAATAAAATACATTTTCTATATCAGTTAATCCATCAAAAATTTAAGCGGAATAATAAATATAATTAACGCTAAATATTATTACTAGTAATTGATTTGCTTGTAAATATTTTAGAGTCAGAGGATCTTCAAACGTCTTCGCGTGAGAGTAGTGGGGAGAGCGCAAATCCATAGTAAGACCCAAGAGTGGGGTTTCAAGGTCAGACTCTAAAGGGTTAAAGAATTAAATTATATAGATTAATTTATTTGTAAAAAATTAAGTTCAACTCAAATAAAATTATTAATCAATTAGTAAAATGGTTTATTATAACAATAAGCCATTGAAATATTATTTTTATTAGTGGACAATTTTATTTTTATTAGCGAAATAACTTAAAGATTTTATGCATTTATATTTTTACAAGATCTCACATTTGAGTGTCGTATTTAACGTAGCGTCTGATGGTTTTGCGGAGTCATTTGGTGCAAGCAACGCAAATATTAAAAAAGAATAATGTTTGACATCAGACGAAAAATACTTTAATTGCATTCTTTATTAACAAAACGATTGCCTCTAATATTTCACTTTTATTTATAGCGATTCATTATTATACATTATTTAGAAGAGTTTAATATTAAAATATTCACTTGCTTTATGCTACTCTTGACTTATTTTTTTCCATTATTAATTTTTATTACTTTATGTCTTAACTTTGAATATTTCTTACTAGATATTAGAGATAAAAGTTTTTAGTTAAAAAAATATATTTTAAATCTTGCAGAAGGCTGTCGGGAATTTTACTTTAGTGGTCTATGACGAAACGGAAATAAATATGTGATTTATCCTTGTAATTTTTATCTCAATTTTTATATTTAACCTTATTTTAAGAATTTATAATCTATTAATATAAATTCATAGACCAATTAAATTCTTGACTAAAGATTAAATTGGAGATCAATTTTCTTAATTAAGTATATTGTTATTTATAGATTATATTATGAATTTAGATACTAATTATAACTACAGCTAATTCAAAATTTAGAAATAATGCAATGAAATATTTATGCAAATAAATTGTTGCATCTTAATGGTCTGTTGAGCAGCAATCGAGGCTGAGCTTTCAATTTATTATTTCATTCACTATCTCTTTTTGTCATGCAGTTATTCATATATATCGTATGTTTGTGTTAAAAAAAACTCGGGCAATAAGACGAAATATTTTGTTAGACGCTCGAGGCAAATCAAAATACCAAAAAATTTTAAATAATTAACAAAAAATAACTATTATGTAGACAAACAACATCGTATTAAGTAGATATTTAAAAGTAATCAAATAAATCAGATGATTTTAGTATTCATGTACTCTCTATTATACTTATTTATATACAATACAATAAAACATTCATATAAAAAACTGCCTATACTTTTACATCATTTTATACAGTTCAAAAATAAAATAAAAAAGAATTATTTTTTTCCATAACGTATTCTTAATATATTAAACTGCTCATATCTTCAAAATTATACATCTCAGAAATATAAACCTAAAAATCATTTTTGTAGAGGATTACATTTTCTTCAACTTATTTATTTGTATCTTTTCGGTAGGATGAGCTGATCTCTTAATATCTTGAAAAGTATACAGAAGAAATCGAAAAAATTACTTTTAGAGCTACACTGTTAAAAATTTTTGTAAAATTACAATCATATTACAAAACAAATGATATGTAAAATTACAAATCAGTGTATAGCAATGCGAAATAAAATACAATTCATATAATTTTCCAACACCTGTCAAGAAATCTACTAAGATGTATTGTAATTTTACAATCTTCTTGTATAAACCCAACACGCATTTTAATATTACAGAACTGTTCGTCAATTTTCAAGAAAGAGCTTTTTAATTTTGCAAACATTATTTGTAATCTGATTCGGCATAATTGTATGTAAAATCATAAAAAAATATTGTAATTTATATTACAATAATCTCATAAAAAATTTAAAAAGCTTTTTTTTATTTTTAACAATTTTCATTGTAAAATTACACAGTGCAATGTAATGTTACCAGAAAATTTTATTTATATTACGCGAATTGTTATTCTACTTCACTTTTTTCCAATTTTAAAAATAATACTTTTCAGTTTTACAAAAATGAGACTGATGTATAAAAAAACAACAATGTCCTTCATATTTATTTTACCTAATTTTTAGTCTATGGTTGCGTTTATTTGTAATAATAAATTCGAGACATAATTTATCTTTCATAAATTTTAATATTATGCTCAAACGATCATTTCGAAATCAATATATTTGAATGAGTATATGTTAAACTTTTTCATCAATAAACAGCATAAAATAACACAAATAATGTAAATAATAAATAATAAGCCGTAATGCTCAATCACCACATAGGATTAGCTTATAAGAATAATAAGATGTTAAACCACCTATCGGTCGTACGGCGTAGGGCGTTAGGTATCAGTCTGGCAAGCGCGCGGCTCAGGTTCGGTTCTTAGTTAGGGTATATATATTATTTTCACTTTAAATCATCTGAATTGTACAAATTAGGTCTACGTGAGATACAAATCTAGTCAGCGCTTCATAACAATAAAATAACAACAGATATTAAATCAAATCTTTCTTTTTTATTATTTCAATTCAAGTAAAATTCAAAGAAAGTATTGTAATTTTACAAACTTAGCTAATCTAAAAATATTTGTAAAATTACAAAACCGTTTTGTAAAATTAGTAACCTCACTGAGCTATATATGTCTTGTAATTTTACTATACCCGATTGTAATTTTAAATAAATGTTTTGCCTATTAGCTTCCAATAAATTTCTTGTAAAATTACAATAGAAATTTTTAACAGTACAGAAGACGGAAACATCTACAAGATTACTAAATCTTAAATTAAAAAGTTAGTTTGCGCTATTAATCAAGAGCGCGTAAACTTTTAAAAATATAAAGTTAAGCCCCATTATCAGTTTTTAGTTAAAGTACATTACAATATAGCAAATACAAGTTATTTGCCGTGATATTTTTAGACAGGTACTTTGTCTTGGATAGTTCCATCACCGTCTCGAGCCAACAGAACTAAAAGACTCGAGACAGCTACTTATTTTTATTTATATTTTTACTCTAGCTCTCCTCTGAAACAACATTTTTTCTCCTTTCATTTTTATCTTGTTCATTTTTAAAAAGTTTTGTTCTATTCATCTTGTTCTTCCGAAGCAGAACCTCTGCTATACCTATAACCTTCCACCTTCTTTAAAATGATCCTTTTATTTCCTGTCTATATAACTTCAGTCTCTTTTAGAGTTTTCTTGCCCAGTTTATTTTACACTCCAGCACATGGTTCACTCTACTGTACTCTGCTCTTCCTCTTCCTCTTCCTCTTTACTCTTTTATACGACGTCATATCAATGATAGGACAGTATTGCTACTGATGGAGATAGAGACACCAGAGATCGAAAACCAACCACCGACTGAGAGGCGAGATAAGATGTATCTAGTTGCCGAAAGGAAAGACCGGTAATAAAGTCTGATAAAATGGAAGAAATAAAAGAACGAGGCTCTTTCTGGTTTATAGGTACCGACATCCAAGCAAAAGAATGACCAACGTCGGTATTTAGAACCAATATTCAACCAAAAGTGCCAAAGTAACAACGAAATTATCGAGTTTTAGCTTTTTAGGATTTTGATAGCCGCCATTTTGAATTTAATCGACCGATTTTATTTATTTTGAAAGACAACTTCAAGAACATCTCAAAGAAGAAGCCTCTTCAGTTTTGTAAACTTCCCTTCAATATTGTGGGTAATATGGCCATTACATTAATTTTTGAAAATGAGAGATGATCAATTTTAAAACTATTGAGAGCGTTATTTATTTTTTTTATGGTTCAGATTGTACTGGAGCAACACTAGCGCTTATATCTGTAGATATGAATAAATAAAGAAGATGTTGTACGTCTATTGAATCACTGCGGAACTATTAATGACACAAGTGTGCATGCTTATAGTGAAACTTGAGTACAGATAGAAAGCCATTAGCGCCTTTGCAATTAAGTGAACACTTTGAGCGTGCACGATACCTTTTCGATATCCGCATAAACTTGATGAGGGTGCTGTAAATTAATTAACTGTAATGGTACATGGTACATTCACCGGTTTCATTACAAGCGCTCAAGCAAAAGGGAATATTATTGGAATTATTTATTAGTTACTTTGTGTACTAATACTGCGCTTTGTTTCTTTGAAGTGTAATAGTCTCTCGACGGGAAAAACATTAAAACAAGAGATAGTTTTTATTTTAAATATTAAATGTCTGCTTCTTCATCAATGCTAACGATACTATTTTTATTATCGTACTCTCATTTTACTTTACAATCAATTTTTTTATCAATTTAAAAAACGTAGTCATAAATTTTTTCTCTTTCAACATTTTAATAATACCCGCCATTTTGAAACTAATCGACCGATTTTGATCAAACTCAAACTTAAGCTCAAAGACACCTCAACGAAGAACTCCCTTCAGTTTCATTAAGATTTCTTCAAAATTGTGGGCAATACGGTCATAGATACTCAAAAAATCGTCTGATTTTTTTTAACCAAAGGTTTTTTTTTTTAACAAACTCGGAATAAACAACAGAACAGACGAATTTTAATTGTAGTAAGAGTATTAACAGTTTAATTCAATAAAACAGATGGAGATAAAGCGATTAGGATGAAATAGAAGCGCAAAAGCAAACAGTTTAATGAATTTGATTTAAATGATGATCTATTAATAGTATTTGCAGATGAATTAAACGGTAAATGTTGTAAACGAAATAAATGGTTGGCAAACAACAACAGTCGACAGGAGAGAAAATACAGAAGATGGAAGATGGAAGAAGCTGTCGAAATAGCCAAAACAAATTATAATAAAACCATTTATGCCGGAGTTTCTGATAACGCTCCAGTTATGACAGCAATGGGTAAAGCTGTAAATTTATGGCATGCAGGATGCAGCAGTCATCATGGAAATTTACTTGCTAAGGACCTTATTGATAAATCATTTGCAGAATCTATAAATACCATTTTACGTACATTCAAAGCTTCTAATTTAGAACGAGAGATAATAGAAAACGGAGGAACAAAAATTAAATTAGCTTGCGAAACTCGTTGGTGCAGTTATCGTGATGCGTTTCGGTGTTGCTTAAAAAATTTAGATATGATGAAAAAAATTATCAGTAATAAATTAAACAAGCCGTCTTTTATAAAATCAAAAAAAACAAGAGAAAGAAAAATTGATTACTTTGAATGATCAGATTTCCGATGATTCTTTAATAATAAAATTACAAGATTTCATCGTTTTATCTGATTCAGTTTGTTCATTAATTAATAAATGTCAACAGTCAAATTTTACTATACCTGATGCAGCTGAAGAGTGGATGAAATTAAACGTTCCGATTGAGGATGAAAAAATCCAAGAAATTGTCCAAAAGCGCATTGACAAAGTATTGACTCCAATTTTATTAGCAGCGAATTTATTGCATCCACATTATCAAGGAAAACAATTTCGTCATAACGATAAATATTATTCTCAAGCTATTGAATTTATAAGGAATGAATTAAATGAATCTTATCATGAAATGGAAGCTTATGAAAATAAAGTTGGAATTTTTGAATCATTACTGAAAAAAGGAAATATCCCTCCAAAATTATTTTGGCAAATGGCCGAAAACTCATACCCAGTACTTTCTCAATTAGCTCAACGATTGATTAACATTCCATCGTCATCAGCACAAATTGAAAGATTATTTTCAAACTGGTCATTTGTTCATTCTTGTCTTAGAAATCGTTTAACACCCGAACGTTCAGAAAAGTTAATCGACATTTATTATACATTGAAAATAAGTTCTGAAAATTCAAAATGAGTATTTAAAATATATATATGTATATTGTGTAATGTGTATGTATTATTATAAAATTTACAATGATAATTAATTTAGTTATATACTTGAAGTATATAATAAAAATAAAAATTTTTGTACTTGAAAATTGTATTAAAAATAATTTTATTGTTGTGTTTATTAGTAAAGTTGAAATTCACATCAAATATTTTTTTTAATAAAAATTTTCCAGAATAATGATTTCTTAATTATAAATTATCAGTAAAAGGATGAAATGAATTCGTAAAATATCATGTATCCAGAACAAAGTTTATTTCTACTTTCTATGAAAATTTTTATAATAAAAACAAATCAAATACATAAGTAAATAATTACCATATTTAAATGGGTATTTATTGATTATTATTACATATTTGTTTCAATATTATTGTTACATAACGTTTAGAATTTGTTTTAATTTGATCATAAACTGAGATCAATAAATTAATCTAATCACAGAAATTAGTAAGAACTCAAATCTCAGTTATTTATTTATCAAATTTTGAAAATTTTTAAAAAATAATTAAAATTTGATTATAAGCTAATTTAACAAATAGAATAACTTTTTTAATTTACCACAGTAAAATAATTATAATAATAAGTTACTTAGATCATAGATTTTCATTCATTTAATTTTAATAATTTTTAAGTAACATTTAAAATTTGCTTATAAGCTAATTTAATAAATAGAATAACTTTTTTAATTTACCACAGTAATAGTATATTACATACCTAGGCCAGTAAAATAAGAAAAGTCTCAGACTATATGTAATTGTTGGCCGAGGCGAAGCCGAGTTGGCTTTACTTTTTACTGGCCAAGGTGTGTATACTATTTTTCTGCTCGACGTAGCCGGAATGTGGCAACTTTGTTTAGCGCAGCGGCCAGAAAGTTGCCACTTTCCGGCCGGAGGGCAGAAAAGATATTTCACAGCTTGCATCTACACCTGCCAGGGTGCGCTGGAATTATTTTTACATAAACTGTAGCTTTAAGGGAATAGTTTGCTATAAAAAATGCAGTCAACGCGAGATTTAAGTTGGTACCAATTGTAATTTTTTATTTTAATTACAAAAAATACTAAAATCCGAACAAAAACAGTTTTACTGTAAAAAAATCGCGCCAAGTCCACGTTTATAAGACTATTAAGAAAAAAAAATTAGTTTTTTCTTTACAAAAAGATGTAAAATAAAAAAATTAAAAAATCCAAGTAACTGATATGATTGTTTATGATTTTCGGAAATTAAAAAAAATTTTGTAAATTTAAAAATTAAAAAAACAATTTTGGAACGTATTTAGTGTGCGCGGTTGCAAAATATTTTACTTTTAACTAAATTCGTAAAATCTATTTACTAGGACTTTAAAAAAATTGAAATACACAATATGACGCATTTTAATCATAGCTAAAAGCCATTTATCATGAAGTTTGTTATTTCTTGCAATTAAGTTTCTTAAATGCGAAGATTAAATTAACGAGTTTACTTTTAAGTGACTTATTAAATCACTCATACCTATTTAAAAAATAATATTAAGAGACTTCTAATTAAAACTAATTACAATCAGCAAGTATAAATCAGTTACCGCTAAAAATAGTGCACATTAAATTATCTATTAATTATCATAACTTGTATTGTACTCGACATATAATACTAATGCACTATTTTGTCTTTATATTTAACATGAAGTTGAATCATCATCAAGTCGTTCCTTCACATGATACCTACATATAAAAATACTACAACACACACGCTCACCTTTTGAATAATAAATCCAATAAGTCTATTCATCTCTTGGCGACTAACACATCGATAAAATCATTTTCTCAGTACTGTCATGCGGAGAAACTTGATAAGATAGCTCCTTTACACATACACATCTCTTTTAAACTCATTCTATATCCAGCTCAACACACTGCATCTTACCCAATAAAAAAATCACACAAATAAAAAATAAAACGATGAAAGAAGTAAAATATTACACATTATATCCATATCCTACGAAAGTTATTCTTCAGGGAGAAAATTATAAAAGTACGTCATGGAATTCTCTCCTAACTTCCCCTTCTTCTCAGATTATCTCGAATAAATTTGCACGATAAGTCAATGCCTCAAGGTTGTCAATGATCATACACATGTGTCATTAATCAGTTCAAATAAATGTAACATATATATATATGAACGAAATAAAAAAAAATATATATTTATATATTTAGCTAAAATATACATGTAGCTCATATCGTACCCACCTGTTTAACTTTTTTCCGTTTCCAAAGAGTTTTATCTCTTTTGTCCATTTCTAATGAAAAGGAATACTTTTATATACATTTACATACTAGCATACATACCTTACTTTCAGACAATAACAATAATGGTCGCGAGTTTGACGAAAATATGAATTATTCCGATTGTTTCCATATGCCTTGCGCAGATGACGTTATATGCCATGCTTTATAACTTGTCACTAAATAATGAGATCTTGTTAAATAGATGGATGTAAAGGTTCAGTACTATACATACGTTTACATATACATGTATCACTCATTACTTATACACCAACAATAGCTCGACTCGGATAGCATCGTCAACCGGAAGTTAAGCTACCTGTCTCCCACGTCTGACGCAGCCTCCGAAAGCAACTCTAAACTCTACAATGAATCCCACACGCGCCTTACCTGTCTTAAAAAAGAGAAAAAAAAAACGACCAGACGGCTCGTTTACACGTCGATCTTTTACATATATGTGTTTACATTTTTATATACTCTCGAGATAGTCAATGTACCTGTAAATGTTTGCATTGTTACTGACTATACATTGACATTCGTATACATTTTAGTTAAAATACACAAAAAAGACAATCAAACCCCAGAAACACAATAAAATGTTATTTTTTTTATGGTCTTCATGTTTTTTCAAAAGATGTGTCTCCCTCATCCTAATCTGGAAAGAAATGGACGCGACTGAATTATTAATGAGGAGCAAACGTTAACATTTTTGAAATATATATATATATTTTCTCAGACAAAATACTTTTTCAATTCTCAGTTGTTTTAGAATAAATAAACAATTAAAATGAAAATATATTCAAGCATGTTTAATTGATGGAAGATGAAATAGTTTTTAAAGTAAGATAATGGCTTACGTTTTTTATTTGATGTTATATATGTTATAAAATCTAGTATTTTATTTTATTATATTTAAATAAAACGAGTTATACATATACATCCACACGTGGAACGATATATAGATATAAATATAACATAATGCACCCCATGTTCCGTAGTTCATTGATGAGCATATAATAGGTCAGAGGACAGGCTAAGGTGCTATTCTAACCATATAGGGATCTGGGGACAGGTATATTTACACGACTGTCTAACATCTGCTTTCATATACACGCCAGATAATGTCCATTGTCAGTTTTTAAAATATTTAATAGAAGTAGAAATAGTTGTACATCGCTCAGATAATTTTATTATGTAGGTTACATACTTTTTATATAATAACTATTATCGTTTTAACTAGATCGATTGGTTATGGTCTTTTTTTTTATCTTCAAACGTACTCGAAAAATTATTGCTAAACTTTTTAATATTTATTAATTAATAATAATATATTAAATTAATATTAATTGATTGTTTATTATGCATTTTGAGCGAGTAAAAATTTTTAATAAGAGATTAAATTATTTCGATTTATTTTTCAAAATTATAATTTAATTTTGATTCAATAGAATATCTAGAATTTTTCGATTACTGAGCATAAATCTAAAAAAATTACCAAAATTTTATTTGTATTCTGAAACTATGATGAAAATAATATTTGGACCAGAAAAAGGATTTTTTATACTTTGATCGTATTTTTGAAGGTTTTCAGTTACTTCATCATGAAAAAGAGAAAGCTTCATTGAAAAGCAAAAAATTATTTACTTGAAGAACTGTGTTCGCAATTTTATTAAAATTCCTTTTGTTTGCATAAAATTACTGAAAAAATAAAAATTTTCAGAGATTTTTTTTTAAATATAGAACACTTTTACAAAATTTTCAAACAATTGGTAAGAACTACCCCGTGAAAATAATATTATTTATGGTGAAATAATGACCCATATATTTTAGAAAAATCAAAACTTTTAATTATAATTCTCACACTCATATCACTTAATTTCGTTCTCAGTAGTCAAATATACATTAGTGAATCAGAAAACTAACCACAATTGCAGAAACTTAGCTAATGCGTTATGAAGTTATAAACTGATAAAACAATTAACTTGATTCAAGAGAAAAATTCTTAAACGGAGAACATAATTTTGAAGAATTTTAATATCTTCAATCAAGTATATAGAAAAATTATTAAATTGAATAAAATTTACTTCAATCAAGAATAATTTCTTAGATTACGAATTTTTCAACTTGATTCAAATTTATCAAGCTCTTCGAAATGATGTTCTTGGCTCTAGAATTTTTCTCTTGAATCAAATTAATTTTTTATCACTGTACAAATTAAAATTATGATAAACTAAATTTAATACGACTCAAGCTTTACTTGAAGATTTTTAGCTCCAATTTTTGACCTAATTTTATAAGCTCGTAAATTAATTTATAAATTTTTAAAAATGACCTAACTTTGGTGAGTTTTGATAAAATTTAATCATAAAAAATATATGAAGAAAAATGTTTAATTTTCATGAAATAAATATAAAAATCAAAAAATTAAAAATAATTACGAGACATTCGTAAACAGTACCAACTTACATTTGACGAGTTTTTTTTTTTTTTTAAATAATAAATATAACAAATAATGTAAGCCCATGGTAATAGAGGAGAGAGAGCATATCCTGCGGAACTTATTAAAAGCAGGTAGCAGATACAAACATATATACGTTGACATGGGAGTCGCGACGACGACGAATAAGTGAAGTTACACGTCCAATCGTCGTCAGTGATACTATAACGGATAACCTACATTGGAACGTGTAGAGTGATACACCCACAAGTGGCCCCGTGAGAGAGTATAGATATAATACCTATTGGTCTGTTTCGTATGCAACCTTCGTAAAGTCGTTCTTCCGCGTGTCGCGCTCTCATATACACACACACAACTGTATATACATAGATACTCAGATGTAACGTGTAACCACAGAGCATTCATTAGTGTAGAGCATTCATACAGAGACAAATACATATAAGTAAGTAGATGTATGCAAATAATAGTGAGTCGA